GCTTATGTGTAGAGGTGAGAGCAAGAATTAAGATTGTAAGATTCATCTCATGAAAGTAATTTTTTAGTAATCAGGTTATTTATATTTAACACATACTTGTAAATAACTGACAATATGTTTTAATGGCTCTAAAGAAAATACTTTTTTAACATTTTTGTTTTGAAGTAAAGCATGTGTCAGCATTCCTGATCCTGTTTAGGATTTCAAAATAAATAAATAAATATTTAAATATATTTATTCATATATATATATATTTCCAAGCTTAATTATAATTAACCAAACCTGAAAAAATAGAGACCAACCAGGATTTATATCAAATACTATTGCATTTTTAGGAATCTTTATTGCATTAATAATTTCATCTATCAAAAAACATTTTTTTTTTTTGAAATCGTAATTAAGTAAAACTTTTATAAATGAATAAAATAATTTTTTTCAATTTACTTGCAACATTTGCATCAAGTATATTTATTCGACTTCTTGATATTGAACGGTTCATAACTTTTGGTCGCCACATCTTTTGCAAAATTTAAAATTCTGTATACTGCAGATCTGCAACAAAAAGTAAAACCCTTAGAAAAAATATTATTTGAACATAAGAGGTTTCGGAAGCTGATCGTTTCACACTTTTATAAACAGATTCTGATTCTGTTGCTATTACAAGACATTAATTCAGCTATTGCCATTAATATCTTGATCACATCACAACATTATATTGGCATGGTGCAAGTCACTGAACTTTTTATTAGCTATGTATATTCTTTAAATCCTCCAAAAATAGAAATGTATGGTCCAAAAAACAAATCATATAATTAAAGCTAGGAGCTTACTCTACAATTCTATGATTTCATTTCGTTTGATATGTGTTATTACATGAGGTATATAGCTTGACAAAAATAAGGTGATTGAGCTTTACTGAAATTTTGAAAAATCAAGTGAAAAAATTTTTTGTTATATTAATATGTAGTCAACTCGTGCAACTTTGAGGCTTTAATCCCTCAAAGTTAACGTGACATATCAAACAAAAGACCTTTCTTTACAATTCTATGATTTCATTAGCTTTAATTCTATGATTTGGCCATACCATTTCTATTTTTAGAGGAGAAAAGGATATACAGTACACAGCCAATAAAAAGTTCCGTGACCAAGTGACTTGCATCATAGTGGTAGTACGTCGAGCCCCTCAAATTTATTTGCATGAAAATCTTAGGTTCTAAATCTTTGCGAAAAAAGTTGCCAAGATGTCGAAAAGTTTAGATCGAGTGACTGGTACATTTCAAATTTGATATTATTATTATTATTATTATTATTATTATTACTATTTAAAAAAATCGTTTATTGATAATAAATAGTTCTTGATGAATATACACGAAATCGAAATACTCAACATCATTTAAATGCACTTGAACGTGACAATTACGCGGTGATTCCTGAAATTGAGATCATGTCAGGAACCATAACAAAACCACGAAGAGCTTCTGAAGTTGATGTTAGTGTCAGTAAGTATAAATTAGAAGCGATAGCAACTAAAATAATAATAATCAATTGATTTATATTTATTAGATAAAAAAACCAAAGCAAGAAATAAAAAAGAGCTTGTGAAACAATTGGCAGTAAAAAGAACTTTGAATTCTTTAATAGAAGAAGCAGTAAGATTTATAATATATAATAATTAATGATTAATTTTATTATTATTATTATTAAATAAAATGAGGGTTTTTTATAGGGACTTGAAGAACTTCCATCAGATGTTCCTAATTATCTTACAGCTGCAGTTGGACCTTCTAAATTTCCTTCAAGGAAATTTTGCTCAGTCTGTGGATTCTTATCAAAGTATACTTGTAGAACTTGTGGAATGAAATATTGTAGTTTAAAATGTTTAGAAACTCACAAAGAAACAAGGTTAATATATGTTTTTTAAATTTATAAAAATTTATAAACTTATTAAATGTTTTATTTTATTTTTTAGATGTATGAAATATACTGTCTAAAGTATTTCACGTCTTTTGCTTCATCCAGTTCAATACTTTCTTTTCATACTTTGAAAGATCATTAAAATTTTGATATTTATTCAAATATTTGAACAGTTGGTCTATTCTCCAGATTAGGATCTCAGTAACTTTTCATTAATTCCGCATAACTTCTAGGCGTATCCTCAGATATCTGAGGCCTTTCCCCATTCCAAATACCTAATATAAGACTTCCATCGTGTAGCCTGCCATAAAATGGGGTTTTATCCAAGGTAAAGTAAATTCCCATATAATCATTCCAATGCTGTAAACGTCGGATTTTTTTGTGTACAACATTCCTAATAATACTTCAGATGGCATGTATGGAGGCACTACAAAAGTTTCTTTCGAAATATTATCATCTGAATTATTATTATTGTTATCGTGGCTTGACTGACCTAAGCTCAATACCTATCTCTCTATTGCTTTTTCAATGATGCATAATTAGTCCGTTTCAACTCTAATGGTTTATTAATTGAATTTTCATAAAAAAAAATTTTTCTTGTTCTATATCTTCTTCCCAGCAACTACCATCATCACCACTTATTCAACTTCATTATCAGGAACTCCTGCCAAAGAATCATTTAATTCTATTTGTTTTACATCACCTTCTTCCAGCCAATATCATCATTATCAAAGAATTACTATCAAAGAATCATTCAATTCCATTTCTTTTCCTTTATTTATTTTTTTTACGCCATTGGAATTTATTTCTTCATTAAATAGTGGTATTTTATTGGTGCAAACTTCGTGGTGATACATAATCAATAGTTACAAAAACAGTTCAGTTTTGCTATATTATTTGTTGTGTCCCTAAATTTTTTTACAAATATTCGAAAATCAATTTATTCAAAGATATTTGAATATATATCATTTATTTCGAATATTTGTTTTCGGATATTAATATTAATTATTTCGGATATTCGTAATTATTTCAGATGCCTATATTTATTTTGAATATTCGTAATCATTTCAAATATTTGTTACGATTACAAATATTTGATAGATAAATTTTAATTCCTCAATTTTCAAGTATGGGTGGATTAACTGATTTAACACTAAAAGATAAGCCAACTCATGTTCATGAATGTTATCTAACAACCAATTCGGAAGCCTTTTCATTACTATTACCACCGAATAATTCATCAGCCACCAGCCAAGAAAACGTGATAGGAAAGGTAGGCTACATGAAAGCTTCATTTAGTGACGATGGAAGTGTACATATCAGCCGATTTGGTTTTTTGGGCCTTTTTTCAAACCTTATGTCTTGTTGTGTCTCGATGTTAAACACGAGTATCTTTAATGTGTAAACTGGTCGGTAGAATGATAATTACCCTAAAAAAAATTATTTGCTCCGCTAAAAAAACTAATTTACTATCCATCAACCCGTCAAACCAATGGCCCCACCTCAAAACCAATGGGTTTTTACTAGTATAAAGTATTCATAATGTTATGATTATACCGTACTGAATTTTGGGGATCAAACAAAATCAGCGCATATGAAGAACGTGCCAAGTTCAATATAAATGTCTTCTCAAAACCAAATGGAATATGATTGTTTTTCTTTTATAGTAAATATATAATTTAGTAGGTGTACTGTAATTTTGTCAAGTATTTATCAAAATTAATGAATTCGAAATAAACAAATGATTACAAATATTTGAAATAATTACAAATATCCAAAATATTTGGATTTACGAATAGAGTAATAAAAAGGGGTGTAAGATTACGGTTAGGAACCCTAATTAATTGTTTGTTGTCCCATTAAATTGTTAATAAACAAATATTTCTATTTAAATAAAATAAGCTTCAAAATTTTTGATGAATGATATTTTAAGTGTGTGATTTGTGATCAGATGACTTTGTCAAATAAATCAAACAAATTGTTTTATTTTTTCTATGGACAGTACTTGGTCATATAATTTAATTTTTTTTTGGATAAACATTTCTATTATACAGTTGTTTACAGAGGATGAACGGGATACATAAGAAAATTTTATTTAAAATCGATTGTGATAAGATTACTAATCTATATGTGAAAGCAAAAATTCAAAAATTCGTTATTATAGTCCACTGTGACAAGGTTTGAGTTTACTAAAAAGAAAGACTAATAAACTATATACATTATAGAGAAAATAATTTTGTGTAGATAAATTCTGGCTAATGTTATGCAATTTGGTAATTGTTTCATATTCCATTGTGTATGCAAAGAAAAACGAAATGATAAAGGAATTAATGGAAGAGAGTGTAAGATTATTGAAAAGAAAAAGGATATTAAATCTAGATATATACGTAGTGCGTGAAGATGTTAATTATATTATTGTTGTCGTTGCCATTATTAGTATTATTATTGTAGTTGGGTGGATATCGTTCAATTACAGGAAATGCATTATAGAAATTATTATTATTACACAAAAATTTTTTTAATTGAAAGTCACTTTGAATGTCGTTGTATCCATTGGTTATCCGGTTAAACATTACTTTTCAACACCCGGTTAACCGGATATCATTCGGCGGATACAACCACTATCAATTTGAAATTTTGAGTATTTTTACAAATTGTAGCTAGATGATTAGCCACAAATGAGCTTTAACACATAGCTATGTAAAATCTTCATGCAATATTCCAGGAAAGAAGTTCAAAATAAACAATCCTCATCAAGCATACTCATCAACATCATTATCACAATCACATCACAACCTCAATCACCTTCATCTTCACAATCACACATCAACTGTTACCAAATGTAACAACCATCATCCCCAAAATCGCATTCATTTATCCTACCAGTTATATTATTTGGTGCAGCTGTACAGGGATTAATTCTCATACAAAAGGACATGCTCGTAGAGGTGATGGCAAGATATAGAAGATATTGCACTGTTATAATAATCTTCAATGTTTTCTTTTAAGCTGATTAATTTCTTTTGCAAACCCAATATCTTTTCTTCTTGTTTAGAGAATAATGATTAAAAAAAAATACTTAAATAATAACTGTATTGGATCAATCCACAAATATTAATTTATTTGAAATAAATTAAATAAATTGATACTAATGTACATTTTTATCAATTTTATTTTCTTTGATATTTTCTTTATTTGATGATGATTTACTATGCAAGTACAAGAAAGTCAAGGTTTTAGATCTCAAATATAACCAGGCTTGACCATTTTTCTTAACAACTAGAGTGATGACGAGTGGCAATAACCACCATTCTTATAATAAACACTTATTCACTTTTTTTAACTTCATATTGTTGTTTTTCTCTTTGTTTCTTCGTTTTTCATTCGATTTATTCATTTTTTAAATATATATATAAAAAAAATACCGTTTGAAAAAAACCATTATTGGCATTTGGTGTTGTACAAGAATTTTTTTTTTGGTCAGACGCGAATTGATTTTTTTTTTGACAGGTCCAAGATGATAAAACGTGGTTCTCCTAAAGAAGAAGTGTTAATAACTAATCAGAGGTACTTTTTTTATTTGTATTGATATAATGTGGTGACTTTTTTAGTTTATAAATATTATAATTGGGGAGCGGAACTTTCTGGGTAATTATAAGATCCTTATCAAGATAGTAAACAATTGGTATTTTGCTTTGCGTAATCAATATTAATGTTAATATTATTATAAATATATAATCACATGTCAGGCAATACACCATTGAAAAAGAAACATTTCTATATGATTATTGGAAATTAGCAGATGTTAAAGCACGCATGCTACCTTGAACACTTTACAATCAGTCTCATCTTTCTCGTGTACACAAGGCTAAACTGACCACGGTGCCCCTGACGATATAATGATGCAACAGAATTCCAGGGAGGGGCGCAAGGCCCTGGAGCCTACCAAGACTGCATCAATTGTCAATGACACTTTTGATAATCTTCACAGCACCAGACCAGAGAAGGCTTGCTGCCATGTTGGCTGAAAAGTTTCCTGCAACAATCCTACCTATAGGGTAAGAATGGCTCTGTGATTAAGCTGTAACTCTGCAGAATTTTGAAAAGTTGTAATATTAGGTGTAGATAAACATCCAGGTCCATCAAAGCAATGAGAATCTGCAACTTGTTTCAAGCACAATTCAGAGTGGAATTGGTGACTCTGAAATTGAATTTCAGCTCTATGGTTTTATGGTTTACAACTTTTATGACTTTAGGGTGTCATGCCGAATTGCCATAATTCAGGTAAAATGGGTTAGATTTTGTTTGGTATGTTATATATAAATTAATCATTTTTATAAATTCTCTGTTTCTTTAATTTTTGTTTGACCAACTGAATTTGTTATTTAAATGGAGTATTTTTTTTTTGTGAGTAGGTGTCCTCAACAAAACAGCAACTCAGGTTGCTGCCTCCTCAGTTGCAGATGCCTATTTTATTATAACTTATGCTAGTGGATGGTGATAACACAAGGCAAGCATTACACAAATTCTGATCCTCATCAGCAATCAATGCCCATATGGAAACAGCCAGCCTGGTCTGAGAGGAAGATAAGAGAAAGTTTTGCCCAAAGCCTTCCAACTTGTTCAATTTACCTCCTCTGTAGGAATGGAAAATCAAATGGTTTGTGGTGTGCAATTGCATGACGCTTGCTTGTTTGTAATAGGAAATTTTATTTAAATTTTACACCTGTGATCAACATCAGATTTATTATTCATAAGGAAATTTTCTTTTTGATACCAGAAATCTGGTAGACACATATATCTATTGTTTTGAAATCAGGTTCCTTAAAAAAAAATTCATTTCTGCATAGTATTATTTATTACTTGGGTGATGCAATTGTTCGTTATTTCAATGATAACATCAAATATATTGAATAAACATCAAAATCATCATGAATATAATTAATGGATGCATGTATTCACATATATAAGAAAAGGGTTAAATAACAACAAGCTAAGTCATATTTATTTTTTATCCAACTAAGATATATATTTAAAAATATTGCCAATTATATAATAACATTTTACAATTAAGATTATTTATAATAATCATTGTATCAATTTATAACTTAGTTCCATAAATAAAGGATGTTTGATTATTTTGAAAATATAATTTTTCTAAAACAATAACATTTTCTATGGTTTCTTATCAACAATATGCAGAAAATTTCATTGGTAAGATGATCAATTCTTTATTAACTTGTTATTGATGAAAACAAAATATCACAAATATTCATTTATTAAATACTTTATTTATATTTTTTTTGATTGATACTATCTGATAAATACAAACATAATAGAATTATAAGGTTGTCTTTTCCCATTTTGACTATTGATGATAGGTCAATTTAAATTTAGACCATAATCCATTTTTATTAATTTAAGACTTGCTGTAATAGTTTTTTTTGTTCACGTTAATTTCGAGTAACATTATGGCACAGTTGCAGAAAATTTACGTGTCAAAATTAAAGCATTATATATTTATCTTCCAGCTTGCCGTAATTTGACCGTTCCCTTCTTATTCTTTAATCTCATATGCGGAAGCAAAGGCGAAACTTTATATATAAACTTACGTCTCAATCATCAATGATAGATCGTTATGTATTGATACCTTAAATTTGGTATGCTTTGCAATAGTTTTTCCGTAGCGTTGAACATTTTCGCTTATTTATTTTTCAAAAAAAAAAGTTTGGTTTAATTACCATTATTTTATTATGCATGTATGTATGGTGCATGTCAGTGTATAAATTACTAACTATATTAATATTAACATCAATAATTATCACCAAAGTCTAGGTGCTTTTCCAAAAACAGTAATAAAATTTATCTATGAATTTTTCGGGGTCCTCATGCACCATATAATCACCATAATTCATTTTTTGTCCAAGTATGGTACTGAAATTATGAAATTGAAAATTGTTTGTACAAGTTGCACTAACGGTTCCGCTTATCATTATCCATTTAGAATTAGAAATCAAATTAAAAAAATTGTAAATTATTTTATTTATAAATAAGAAATTTTAATAATTCTATTTAACTTTAATATTAATTTTTAAAAACCAAGAAAAAATGGATGGAGATGCAAAGTTAATATTATCATTAATTGCAAAAATTAATATGAAAGTACGTTAAATCAAATAATTTCATATATATATATATATATATATTATATATTAAACAGTCTAAATTCATTTTGTAAACTAGCTCTTTGCTTATTAATTTTTTCTTGAAAGTTACCATGTAATAGTGGTAAAAAATTAGAGATTTTAGAATCAGATCCTTTAATGTTACAGACAGTAAATTCAATAATCGATTTATCAAGATATAGACTTAGTTTTATAGCAGATAATCTTGCGCGTTTGTTAGAGACCATATCAAAGGTATCTAAATCTATTTATCTATCAATTGATTGTTTGATAATAATAAATTTAATTCTAATAGTAGAATAATTTTCTTGGTGTCATTGATAAATTTTTTAATTTATTAGACAACATTACCGAATGCTACTGAAGAAAACATTCCGATTGATATTTTGCAATCTCAATTATTCATTATTAAAATACTTTCAGCATGTGTAATAAATCATTGGACATTCGTTCAAGGAATAAATCGTTCATTAGCAAAACAACCACAATCAGAAACTACCCAAACACATTTGGGAGGTTCCAAATCCAATCATAACTATCATAATTCCACAAATGGTCATAGAGTATTCATACCACCAAAATCATCTGATGATCCTCCTCCATTAGAGGATTTTCTTGCTAAATTTATTTTAAGTGTTTTATCAAGGTTTCTTCAGCAAATGGCTAATTTAGAAGATAATACTAATAGCGACAAACAAAATTTAAATTTAAATGCTCAAAATCAGGCTTCAATAAGTTTATCTGCAAATTTAAATTTGGGTTCTATTATATATGAAATTATCTCTGATATTTACAGGCATGCTGGCCATGTTATTTTTTACATAAGCGCCTCAAATTGGAATGTTGTATTTTCAAGAATTAAGAGCAGAATAGGTTATTTGACATCTACAAATGATGACTGGCCAGAGACTGCAGAATTAAAATTTTTGGAATGCTCTGATTTAAATTCAAAAAGATTATCAATAGTTATACAAGGTTTTAACATATTTTTATATCAATTTAATTAAGTTTAAATTTAAATATATATTAATAATGTTAATGTTTGTATAGAGTTATGTGGTTCATTCCTTAATCTTAAAAAGTCGGCACAATTAGCTATGGCCCAGGTTTTACGTAAATCTATTTGGAATTGGATTAAAGTTTTTCCTGAAGAATTTATAGCTTTATGTCAAAGTGAAAAACGTCTGGAAGGTGGTCCTGAAATTTTATTTGATATTTGTAATAATCTAGCTGATAACAACCGTAGGAAACAATTTTTTTGGCCATTACAGACAATGTTGTTGATTTTGTGCCCTGATATTCTTCATAGCGCGGCATCGAGTGAGCGTACACCTGTTATGTCAAAAAAAGTATTTCATACACATCTTTATTTATTATTTAAAAATTGTCTTTTATCTTTTGAAAATTAAAATACAATAATTTATAATTGTAAAAATTGAATAATTTCAGGTGGCTTTTCTTGAGAATTTGAAAAGTTCTCTAAAAAGGCCTCGTTTAGCTGAAGTTGCCGTTGAATGTTATGTTGATATATGTAAAGCTTCAACTTATGTGTCTAGGAAAGATTCAAAAGCTTTACGTTTGATTGTACCAGAAATCGAGAATGATTTACAGGTATATTATAAAGTAAAAATAAAAATAAAAAAAACCAAATTATTTATTCATTCATTAATTATTATTTTTTTTAAAAAAAGGAAAGACTTTTTGATCCTGCTAGAAGCTTGACATACGATAATCAATTTGATCAAAGCCTTATGACTGATTGTTTGATTGCCTTATTCAAATTAAACGATACTACTTTAAAATCATTAATTCCGGTCTGTCTAAATGAAAATGCACCGAGTGTTTTCAAATTAGTATTGGTTAAAAGCTGTTATGTTATTGCTTCAGATGTATAGTCACAATTTTATGTTTATTGTCTCTCTCTTTTTTTTTTTTTTTTTTTGAGTATTTCTCAAACTTTAATAACTCTCTTAATAATTTATTTTAAAAGGAAAATAAATTTCCTTGGAACCCGCAGCTTTCAACAATGTATCCTGTTCTTGCTACACCACTTCGAAGTTTATTTCATCAATATATTACCAGTCGTGATAGGTTAGATGTTAAGAAAAAGAAGCAAACAAGAGAAAGACCAGATGAAATTAATGAGAGAATGGAAATTATTTTAACAATTTTGAAATTATATAAATCTGATCCTTTGTTAGTACTTGTAGTAAGTTACAAAACTAATAATTCCCTCCGTGCTCTAAAATTAATTGATAAACACATTTTAAAACTTTTAATGATAAATCTATTATAATTTAGCATAGTGATGCAAATGAGAACCCTGATGAGATTCGAAGGGTCATTTATGGGATGACTTTATGTGTAAATGATCACAATCCTGTAATTCGCACCACTGCAGCTGAAACATTAATAAAGCTACACGATTTAAAATATATTGAACAATGGAGTTCAAATGATAAAAGGATGCGTAGTTTTTGGGTTATTAGGTACAGTAATTTTTGGTTTTGGTTTTATTTTTTTTTTAAAAAAAAAAAAACTTTAATATTTGATTGAGCATTCATTTTCTTTAGTTCACAAGTTATGTTAGCTATTGCTAGACAAATATTAGAATATAAAGAACCTGAAGAGAGTACAAAATATTTGCTTGATCTTTTACTTCAATTATTTAAACGACGTAACGAATTCTTAAAAGCTCATAAGGTATTTTTTTATATTATATCATGCTTTTGTTTAATGTTTTGACATCATTGATTAAAATATCTTTTTTTTTAAAAAATTTTAAATAAATAAAAAAAAAATATATAAAGGATGAATCTCACATTGGCATTAATACACCTGAAAGGCTTGGCTGTAATATTGTACTTGAAATTGCATTATTAGTTTTGTTATGCTCATCAGATACAGAAATTTGTTCAATGTCAATGAGTTGTTTTGGTCATTTATGTCAAGAGGCTCAGCTAACTGCTGAACTTATAGGCGACGAAGTAGACATTCAAGCTGTTCCACCCTCAGAATTACCAATTGTAGAGAATATGGATGTATATTTGGAGTTATCTTCAGAACCATCCATAGTTCCAGGTAATAAATATATTATTAGTAAATAAAGAAATTATGGAATGTTGGATTTTTTTTTAAAATGTAAATAATTTATAGGACGAATTGCACAACAAAAACGTATAAGAAAGTTACTTCGGTTGATGAAGAAACCCACCCCAGGAAATCTTGCAGCATGGGAAGAAGCTTACAAACGTTGGAAAGTATTGACATCATTGATTGCAAGGTCAACAGATGACCAAACAATATTAGAAGATGTGGGCAAAAAAAGAATGGCAAAAATGGCTAATCAATTTACTGTAGTACCTACAGATGTAAGTTATTAGGGCCATGCGTAGTTCTTTATTTTTTTGTGTGTATGTCTCTGTATGGAAAATAATTTTAAAATTATATTTCAACAATTTATAGTCTCAATCAAATGAATGGCTGAATTACACTGGATTTCTTGCAGCAATAGGAGGGTGTTGTGTTAACGAAAAGCAAATAAATATAAATGGTGATGGCAAATTTTATGATCCTTCAGGAAATGAGCATAATGAACATATAATTGTAGGTCCTCAAGGATCTGATTATCATTCAATGGCCGAGCAATTTGTTCAAGAGATGTTTGATTTGTTGGTATGTGATACAGTTTATGTTCGTGAAAATGTTAAAGAGATGCTTGGTTCAGAATTGAGTCCAAGATTATATGTTATTCTTTTTCGAAATCTTGAGTCAGTTGTTTCACGGTTTTTTGATGCAGATGGGGAGGCAAAGTCAAATGAAAGATGCACAATTTTTGCGGAACAAGCAATATCTATTTTGAAATTGATACTTGAACGTATTCAAGATGCATCCGAAAATTTGTATACAGTTGATCTTGGTGGACTTGTTTTATCATTTGCCCGATATTTAAATAGACTAGAATCCAACAGTGTGGCACTTCGTGTCAAAAAAAAGATGTGTCAACTCGCCGAAGTATTAATGATCAAGAAAGATTATATTACCCTCCGGCAAGAGATCAAATTAAGAAATAAATTATTAGAAATATTTATTGAATGGACATTGGATTATTCTATGGTAAAACCAGATACATATAAATTAATTATTTGATTGATTTTTCTCAATCTCGTACTTATACATTTTATATTGTTAAATAAACTCAAAATAGAAAACTGATGGAAAAGGCAATGATGATATTTCATCGAGTAAGAGTGAACGAATGCATCGTGATCTAGATCAGGCTTGTTTAAAAGCAATTGTTTCCATTTTGGCACAATTGCCTTTACAACCATCGGAGACAGTACATGAAGCAGATCTTAGCCTTGTTAAATCACGTTTATTTTATAAATATTTCACGTTTTTCATAAAATTGTTAAATCGATGTCGTATTTTAGAAGTAAGTTAAATTACGAAAAAAAAAAATAAACTAAATATGAAATTAATTAAAATAAATAATCATACATAAATTTTTATTTTATTTAAAGGCCATTGATAGCGGAACACAATCTGCAAAAAATAATCCTGATTTACAATTGCTTTTGTCAAGGGTAAATATATATTGAATGTATAGTTTTGTTCAATTAAAATCTTATTATAAATTTATTTATATAGTTTCTTTTTTATAGTCTAAAGAATATGTCAAAGATCTAGGTCCATTGAAAGATTACACTATTTTGGCATTAAGTAATTTGCTTAGTGCTAATGTGGATTCAGGGCTAAAGCATTCTCTTTCGATGGGTTACCATGAAGATACTAAGACAAAAACTGCTTTTATGCAAGTACTTACAAACATATTAAACCAGGGCACCGAATTTGAAGGACTTGCTGAAAATGCAATGGATGATAGATTTGATAAGCTTGTGGAGGTATTTAATAGGGTTACTCTCCTCTCTTAAATTTATTGATTATTCATGAATTAAAATTAATTTTTATTACTTTGTATTCTTTTTTTTATATATTTCATAGCTAATAACTGATTCTGATTTGAGTATTGCGCTTTCACTTTGTGAAGTCTGTCCTGTGTCTGATATTGATGAAGTTTCCCGAGTTCTTTTAGCTGTTTTTGATTCACGTCATCAAACCATGCCTTTGCTAAAAGCTATTATTGAAAAAGAAGTAGCAAATACAGGTACTTGATTTATTAGATTGACTATGACTTATTTTAACCAGACAGTTCTAAAACAAATAAAAAATTAATTATTAATATCTGTTCGTCCTGACAATTATTATTTATTTTCAAGAATATGAGTCAGATTTATTCCGTCGCAATTGTATGGCCACTCGTATGTTGACAGCCTTCGGCAAAACTCACGGAGCTGAATATTTACGTAAAACCTTACAGCCACTTTTGGCTAATTTGTTAAATCAACAAAATGATTTTAGTTATGAGCTTAATCCTGCAAATTTAGGACCTGATGAAGACATTTCAAAAAATTTACAGAATTTGATAAATACTGCAAAATCATTTTTAGATGGTATATGTGCATCAGGCCGTAATATGCCAATGTAATTACTTGTAATTATGTGTATATGTATATGTATATTGTATAATGTATTTAATTGTTTGTCTGTTTTCATGCATTTAGATTATTTCGTGAAGTCTGTCATTATATTGGAAAATCTGTAGAAAAAAAATATCCACAGGCGAAATGTACAACTATTGGTGCTTTTATATTTCTTCGATTTTTTAATCCAGCTATTGTGGCACCAGATAGTGAAAATCTTTGCGATACCATCAAAAACGCAAAAATCCGCCGAACATTATTGCTAGTTACCAAAGTTATACAAAATCTTGCAAACAATGTTCTTTTTGGTGCAAAAGAACCCCATATGATTTTGTTGAACAATTTTTTGGATGATAATATTGTTAAGATGACTGCTTTTCTTGAAGAAGTTTCCGTAAGTAAAACACAAATTTCATGAATTTTATAAGAATCGCCATGATTTAATTTTGCTAAATTCAAGCCTCTCTAATTAGGAATTACCTGTTGCTTCACAACTTTCCGAACACAAATCAAGGGAGGCATCTAATATACATAGATTAAGTGATGCTAATCGGAAAGCATTCCATAGACATCTTGTTGAAAATCAAGAAAGAATTGCTAAAGATCTTCAAACACGTAGGGTAAAATCGATTGGCACTACAGTGCACAATAATATATCTTTAGATTTTACTTATGCAAATAAAAAGTCTTGGGATAAAATCTCAACTCTTCTTGCACAAATTGGTCCACCAATTGAAAGTCAGAAGAAAGATTTTGCTGTCATTGGAACAAATCATTTTGAAACAAATAATCAGCTTTTTTCAGAATTTATGCGTAGAAATGCAAACAGAAACATCGATTCAATAATATCTAAAGAAATATTTTACAAAGGAGGTGTTTCAAAAGTTAGTTATAAATTTATATTATCCTTTTGTTTAAATAAAAAAAAAAATAAAAAAAATTATAAAATAGGAATTAAAACAAGTTTTTCTTTTAGGAAAAAAGACCATTATTTTATTTAATTTTACGTAGACTTGAGCCTGATTACATTGATATGGATCTTTTAATGTATCATATTTTACATGTAAGTGTTATCTAGATCCCGTGATATTGTATAATATTTATTTGATCGGTTGGTTGAAATTGCTTTGTTGTCGTTTTTTTTTTTGTAGATTATTGAGCCGTTTATGACCAAACCGTATGAAATCCTCGTTGACTTGACTAAATTTGGGCAATCTAACAAAATTCAATCTCAATGGATTCAACAATTTATTCTAATTCTTCCATTTCATATAGTTGATAACCTAGCCACATTATATTTTTATAATGCAAATACAGCTTTTAAGAACTTTTCCAAAAAAATTACATATATCCTTTTTTTACAAATCGAATTTTATATTTTTATTTATAGAATAAAAAACATATTTCTTTAATCAAGATATACATCCCCTTTCTAATAAATTATTAAAAAAATCAGTATTTCTATGCAGTTTGAGTGAATTATATGAATACATTGCACCACATGAAGTTCGATTACCAAAAGGCACAGGTTAGCTAAATAATTTAATAATTATATGAATTTATAAAGTCTAATTATGACATTATTTTATGATTTATTTAGCACAACTTGATACAGATAATACCATTACATCATATAGTCAAATTCTAAAATTAGCACATTATAAAGCACCAATACCGGTGATTATGAAAATTGGCGGTGAAAATATCCAAGTTATAACGGTAAAATTATTAAAAATCATGTTGAAATTTTATCTTTCAATTTTTTATTTCAACATATGAAATTTTATAACAGGCTAAAAAACAAGATTTAATTTTTGGATTGAGCTGTCAACTTAATGATGTATTTCATGTATCAGAGATTGAGGATATTACATTTTCATCTAATAAAAATGTTAACAATGAATTTGCAATTAAACAAAATGGCAGACCTTCATTTATATTTGCAAGTCCAATGAGAGACACAATTATGCAGGTAAAATTTAACACGTTTTCTAATGCAATTATAATTTTAATATTTCTTTTTTTATATATTTACCTCCTTCAATTTACATTCTTTTAAGGCCATTCGTACTTCTAAAGCAAAATACCAAATAGCAAAACCAAGTAAAGTCACTGAAAGAATTTTAAGACCAAATGATGTACCAGGAACTTTGCTAAATATGACATTATTTAATATTGGAAGTGAAGATCCTAATCTTAGGCTGGCTGCATATAATTTGCTGGTCTCTCTAAGTAATGTATTTAATTTTGATGTAGGAAATCAATTATTGGCTACAAAAGGTATATTTTAGACTTTATCATCATCATCACATCATTATTTTGAATTTAATAATTAATTACAATATATATACATCAATATTTTTAGGTTTATGTATTCCAGCAAATAATACAAATTTTATAGTTGGGATAAGTGAAAAACTTGCTGCTTCAGAAAGTCGACTTACTCTTGATTTTCTAAGGGAATTTTTTGTTGGGTTCAACAAGTCAAATACACCAACAAAACATTTATGTCTTCAATATATGGCTCCTTGGTTGTTAAATTTGGGTCAATTTATTAAAAATCCATCAGGAAATCCGCAAACAAACAATAAAACAAGAGACATAATCCGAAAACTGATTGATCTGACAGCAAGAGAAATTGATGTATGGATTTTTTTTTTAATTATTTATATATTATTCTTTAGATCATTTATATTTTAAATTAAAGT